TTCAAACGAAATATGCGTTTGCGTGTAGCTATGTATGTATATACAGATAATTTGGAATTCTAAAATCTTTGTTCCCATCTGCGGGTGGCTTGATTGCGCTTAAGGCAAAAATACCTTTTCTGCTTACGTATGTAAATATGTATGTATGTATGTACGTAGTCTCTTAAGTATTTAAGTGAAAAAAGCTTAAGAATTCCAGCCAGCACATTTCGCTATTGCTGCCATGGAAAAATTTACACTTGGCAAATATATATGAACATATATATTTACAAATATATTTTTTTTCATATTTTTTGTGCTAAAAATATCCATTCTGTTTACGTTTTATGCTAAAATTAGCTTCGATTTTGTTTATAAAAGTGATTTACTTAATTCCTTGCGGTATTTCACATGAACGATATTTATTTATTTATGTAATAATGTAATGAGATTTTGTGTGAATTTACTGCATTACGTTTGTTAATAATAACAATGATCAAACAATGTAGAAATTTATTTATTTCTGGAGTCATCTCACAGCAGCAACAGCAAAATTATTCACAGCGGCTTTCTGTCATATGAATCACTTTACAAATTTCATGATTTCATTGACGATATCAGTTTGATTTTCCTTTTTTTTTTGCATAAGAAATCGAAGGATTCGAGTCAACTGTGATCTGATTTTATGCTTCTTCTACGCCCGTTGGGCTACAGTGTGATCGGGTTTTCTTATTGAAAAGGACTTATTTTTCCAGCACTGTTTTACTGAGCAGATGAAAGCTCGCATGAGAACTCCTTCTCTTTCGATTACATATGCGCACATATCTAACCAGTCTTAAAACTATTCTGAAAAAAAAAGATAAATATTTTTCTACTATTTTTCCCTTACTGAAATGCTTTAGCTTTCCAGTTAACGTTGGAACATTACTTGATTTATTATGTGTGAGGTGTGCGTCTTGATTTTTTTCCAACATATGTTTGGACCTACAGTTTATTCTAAGCCGCGTCCTACCGGTCGATGGATTTTAATGAAGAGCTTTTCTTATTTCATGTCAGAAATACACTGGGAGGGCTTGATATTCCCTGCCGAGAGGCGACCGTAATAAAGATAAATAAATTTTCTGTAATTTTGGATGTAGGTCTGGCCTTGATAATGGCATTCCCCAATGCTTACCACTCGGCTAATGGCTTTGGATGATTTGCGGAAGACTTAAATTTAACGGTTCCCCACAAAAAATAGTCCAACGGAGTAAAATTCCAGCTGCTTTTGCTGCTATTGGAAGTACAAGTTAATTCGATTCGTTTTTTTTCTTTTAAAAAGAAATACATCAATCAAAGTATTGTCCCTCGATAGCGACTACTTTTTCCCAACTCTCTCCCTGGTAATTTTCGAATTCCAATTCTAAAATATGAGTCCTCTCTGTTCTCAAGTCAACCATTGATTGAGTCATTCCTCAACTTCTTCGAAAAAAAAAACTCAAACGGGTAACCCCCAAGATGTTTCGCACTCGCCGAAAAAATCAGTAGTCGGAAGAAATATGGTCTGGGAAGTACTGCGGATGGGGTGAGCCCTCTCATTTTAGCATTTTCAGCTCGTTTTTTTACCATTACAGCCGGTTTCAATGCAAGGCACGGCACAAACACTTTAGTTGTAGTCGATCCCATATCGCATCAAGGGTTTCGCCTGGTTCTGGCAGCTCATAACACACCACACGCGTCTGGTCCCTTCATATGCGCTTTGAACAGTGGATGCTTTCCTGTGGTGTCTATGTAGACGATCATGGAATAGGTTTACCAGGCTTTGTATAGTATTTTTTCTTCTTAAAGTTGTCGTAGTAAATCCAATTTTTATCTCCAGTCACGATGCGGTGCAAAAAGTCCCTTCCTTTGGTGTCTTTCCAAAAGCATCTCTCGGCATCAACTCATACCGCACGCCATTTTCTTGCTTTTGAATAAATCCAAATTACTTTAACCGAACGGAAATTGTCTGCTGAGTAACTCCCAATGATTCTGCGAGTTTAGTTTGGGTTTGGTACGTATCTTGATCCAGTAAAGATTCCAAATCCTCATCTTCAAACTTTTTGGGTTGGCCAGGACGCTCAACAATTTTGAAGCAGTGAAACCACTCTGGGTATGACTTATCGGGCGCCGGAGGTTTACCATGAAATTCCACAAGCATTCGATGGGATTCGGCTGCACTTTTCTCTTAAATGAAATAAAAAATTTTTATTTGGGAGAATTTCGGACATTTTCGAAGGAAAAAAATATAATGCTGTTGTCAGAAATAGACGTTGTTGTAAACGCAAATATATTCCTCAAAGTACTTTTTGGGGAATGTTGCGGGAGTGAGGTCCCTAGTGTCACGGGAACAATTGGATTTTAGTCGCCTCGTCGTCGTCGGTCAAAACCTACAGCTGGAGCCATCTTTAGAGAGCGGACCGAATTAATCTGTATTCCCAATTATTACCGAAAACAGTGTGCAAAAGATCGATAGTAAAGTTGGTTTTGTGGTATGTGTTGTCCCGTGCAACATTTGGAAAGAAATGATCTCTGGACAAGACATGGTTGCGATGGTCATTGATGGTAAAGGCTGCTTCTTCCTCGTTTTCGAACAAAAATGGAGCAGTGATGCCGGCCGATCTACTTGGTACACCAAACAGTAACTCGTTAAGATTGCCTCGGCTGTTCCATGGTTAAATGAGGTTCCAGGGGAAAATATGGGTTTTCAGTAAAACAAATTCCCTCCCGGATCAGTCGCACAGCTCCTCTACCTGTCTGCCTAGTATAAGATGCTCCGTAAGACGAGCCTATATTAAAAACTTTTTCTTTCATTTAATGAGATAAGCTCTCATGATATTCTGTTAATCACATAGCATAGGCGTTGTCACGAAAATAGTGTTACCAGATGCATTATATGTAATCTGAGCTCTGTACGGCTGTACTATTCCGAATATAGGGACCACATGAGCTATCATGAAACTTAGATCACAAACAGTAAGACACTCTGTCTGTTCTTCTCCTCCGCTATGCTGGGGATTTTGCTTTCACTGAGCTTGCCATAAATAATACACTGTACTCGATGTGGTACTTCTGATTGTTGTCTTTAGTGTTTTGTTAAACAGGGTCGTCGAACACTAACTAAGATTCTTAGTGCAACGTCGTCTCAGTTCAACTTTTTTGCGGCTAGAAAATAGGTCAAGAAATTATACTATATTGACTGGTAGACTTTATAACGGCTGATGCACGATGGCTTAAGATTATACAGCTGTTTCTTGGGGGATGCGATGAGCCAGTTTTATTTTCCATCACAAGAATCTCAGATGAGTATTATTTGAGACGCTACCTTTTGTCGGCTCTTTCCGAGGATCAGGGGAGAGGATTTTTTAGAAAGAAGAAGAAAAATTTGCAAACCTTAAGCCTTCCTCTCTGCTTTGTATTGTGAATCTTTTAGAATGGGCTTACGAAGAGCACAAAAAACCTACAATTTTTTAGGTTAGAGATTTACAGACCTCTTAAGAGTGCTTCTATTCTCCCTTAAATTGTCTCTCTACTCTGCTTAGAGCACCTCTCAGATTACATTTTTCAAAGAGCACTACTACAGGTTTTTAAAGGCAAGAATAATTAGAAACATTATATATCCGGTCTTGGATCATCCTACTTACGGGAAACAGGTTAAAGACTCGCTCTCTTTATACGCTGGTGAATTCAAACAACATTTTCGCTCATTTATTGAATCGGAATACACTCGTTTATCTCCTTGTTTTTCGAAACAACCGTTTGAACTTCTTGTACCCTTTAATTTTCGATAAATCCATTTTGTCGTCATTGTCAACAATGTTTCTCCTGTGAGTTTCTTATCCACGGAATATTCATTTTCATGTCATACTACATGTCATCTTTCATCATCACTGTCACTCATTTCTTCAATTAAATACTGTTATATGCGATTTCAAAATATTATTTTCTCTTCACTTTCACAAACCACTTGTGCTGGCACTTACATACATATGTTCATATGTGTGTATGTATGTTCCTACGAATATTTGCTTACACCATACGCACACCCAAAGGCATCTGGACACCAGGCACGCAAACACCCAACACATCCTTCACCAACCTGAACAACATTGCACAGCCGAAGGTCAGCACGCCTACACCACCGCCACCGCCACGTCCCTCATCAGCGGCCGCAGCGGCCGGCGCACAAACTGTCTGGACGCCACAGCCATCACCGAGTAGCGGTCGTAAAGAATTTCGTCCGGTACGTTTCGAATCACCAACACTGCCACGCCGTTACGTCCTGCCGCAAAATAACGAACAAGGTGCACAACAAATACCGCCACCCTGGCGTCAGAGCACTGCAACTACCACGGATGGTGAGAGTTCATATGCAGCGCCATCGCCACGTTCCGCTTACAGTTATACGAATCTTAGTACGCCAACAACAACAATCGGTTCGGCTGGTAGCACGAATTATTGTGACTCCATACCGTCTGAATCGTCATTGCTGAATCAAGTGGGCACGGGACGGAGTCAGAGTGTTGCGGATAAAATTAAAAGTATGGGTGGTAGAAATTTTAACGGTTCACTATTACATGCATACAGTGTCATTAAATGTCATTGTCATAGTCATTGTTGTTGTGTTATGTTGTGTGATTTCATTACTGAACCATTTTTCTTTTCTCGTTTTCATACTCGTAAAGTGTAAATTGTTGCATTTACGAGATCACAAATCATTAACGCGTCAAGCATACAGACAAACACGAGTCACACATACATACACACATCCATACGCAGGTATATGAAATGCAGTGGAAAGTTTTAAATTTTTTCGATTCGGTTGCATGCGCGAAAGTGTGAAAATTTGACTTTTGTGTGAGCCACTAAAAACTCTACTCATCGCGACACTGGGCAGTATCACGTCCAAAAGTGTATTTTTGTGTGTATTTGTTAAAAGTTTCTCATCCCTCTCTCTCTCTCTCTCTCTCTAACCTCATAACATTCTCTCACACCTTCTGCAGCATTCGAAAGATCAGCCTCTACATCGGCGTTATATTCGCCAGCGGCACGACGCCGACACGACACTGGTCAGCCATTTTATAAACCCAACGAAGTCAGTAAGTATAACAAACAAATACCGTTTGACAACGCGAATACCTTAATTAAGTACTAACGAACACTCTCAGCACGACACTTGCGCACGCGCCCTCTCGCGGCGTTGCAACTCTGTGTTTATATTGATCACAGTATAAGGCGAGCTCGTGGGGTTTTTGAAAAAAATTTTATATATTTATTTTACGTCACATATCGAGCAAACTTGGGAACTTGAATTGAGAGTGTATATTTTATTGAGAGAAAAAGGATGTTTTGAGTTAAAAAAAACCTTAGATACAGTGAGTCTGTTGTGTTTTGCATGTGTTCGTTTTTTTTTATTTTAATTTCAATTAAGTGTCGTAATTACCTTTACACACACAAAGTTCGTATGTAATCCCTTAACTTTTGCTGTATAAAACACAAAAAAAAAAATTTTAAAATTATGAAAAAAACATTTAAAACAAATTGCAATAAATTAACAACTACAACAAAACCCCACCTCACTCTTATCACTACCAATTTGCAGTTTTTAAAGTTAAACATGAGTACATGAGCGAACCGGAAACGGAACAAGATCGTCCCAGAAAAATGGCACAATTGAGTCGACGGCAAGTCGATGGCATCGGACCGGTTACCAACGATGGAATGCCCATTATATTGAGATCGGTAAAAAAAAACGTCACAAAAATAGCAGTTTTCCTTAAAGAATTTAACCTAAAATAATTTCATATTTTAACACTTCATGCACTCTCTTCACACTTTCTAAAAAATGACAACAAAACGCATGTACTGCAACCGTCGGTGCATTAATTAATGGTGGCATTATGGTATTGTGCTACACGATCACGCGCGCGATCTCGTTTGTCACGCCGCAGGAGGTTAAGGAACCACATCAACATGAATGGTATAAACGACTCTATCAGACAATACACAAGCAGAAGAGCGGTGGTAATGAAAAAAAGAACTCATTATTAATTTATTTATCATATTAAGTCGAATGTTTAACTAGTCAGGGAAGTGGGTGCGTTCGCAATTGGCTAATTGTTTGGTGCGAAAAATTGCGCGGAAAAACCAAAACGAATTTTTTAGGCAGTAAAAGTTGTTTCACCGTTCGTTAAACGGTTATTCTTTTCGTGGCTTCAAAAGTGCAGAGTTGTATTTTGGCAACTGTCAAACTTAATTGAATTAAAGCAAACTTATTTTGGCTTTGGTTCAAAAACCGACTTTTATGAAAATGGCTCGCTTGACAACCGCAAAACGCGTTCAAATTATTAAGACGTGCAAAAAAAAAAATGGTGCTTCAAACACGTTTCGTGCTTTGAGAGCAGATTATGGAGAACCTGCGTCATTAGAATGAATGTTTCACATAAAATGAGAGCGGTTCAAAATTTATAACGAAAAGGATTTCATGAAAAAAAGAAAATAAAAAAATTTATTTAATTAACGTTTATTTTCGAAACCGCAAAATGGATAACGAGCAAACCAATCTTGGGTTCCGGTATTGCAAATTTTTCGCATGATTTTTGCAAAGTTTTTACCTTTTTTATAGTACAAACTTTTTATAGTACAAACTTTTTATAGCTAAAAAAGCGTCACATTTGCGCGTAATGTCACTCATTTCACATCAAAATAACTTTTCACACAAATGACGATTTACAGAACTATCTTTACAAGAAATATTACTTAAAATGTCAGCTTTCAAAGATATATTCGTTTGACATAATCGATTTAGAGTTGCCTGAAATAAGGTTTGAACACCAAGTAGTGACAGAAACCGCGGAGACTTTTTAATTATTTACAGCTCACTAATTTTTGATTTAAGTTCACATTCGTAAATATAAATTATGAAATTTGATAACGGAGATTGTGAATTTATTACAAAAAATAACAAAAAATACGGATACTTACTGACAACTGGCGAAAGCACAGCTAATATCGCACTGGTAAGCTGCGAGCATAACTTTTGGCCATGTTTCCCTCTTAAAGTCGTAAGGCACGGATGAGAGGTGTGTTCAAATGCTGATTGCGCTATTACTCGCTAGTAGAATATCCGCAGTTTGTCATTGAGTACCGTAATAAATAGTTTTGCTGTCAGTTCTAAACTCACCACTGATGCCAAAGAGAGCAACTGTTGCTTTAACTACTCAGTTAGTTTAGTTGTCTCAGAGGAAAATCCGTGCCTCGTTCAAATTTGTTCTTTTTAACGAGTTGTGATGACAAATTTGTTATGAAGAAAAATAAATTAAAATATCAATTAGCTGTTGGACTTTCATTTTTGGTATGAGAAATATAAATTTTCTATAAACAACCAAAACTAAGATCTCGCCACTCTACTTTGGCACTGTTAATTTTCTATTAAAATCCAAATATTGCAAAAATATGCAAATTATACCAGTTCTGAATTCAAAAAAAGTGAAACACTCATTTCTCCATCTTCTGCACATAAATTAGTCAATTTTTCAAGCACTCAAGTGACGATTGCTATTTTCTGCTGCTGTCACACATGACAATTTTTTCATTCAATCGAGCGGCACTAATGTGATTGAATCGAAAAGAATGATGCAAGAAAAAAACATACATACATATGTATGCGCACGCCTTATTTAATAGCATTTCCGGTTGCTATGATGGACATAAAAAATAATGTTCAGAAGAAAGTGAATAAAAAAACAACAAAATGCTTAAAAAAACATATAAAAAATTACAAATTTTATTAGGGTAAATACCTAAAATAGAAATTTAGACCAGAAATTTTTTTATTTAAAGAAAAATAAAAATATAATAGGCATGTGGTTTTCGAAAAAAATAAAACGCTTTTAATTGAATATAATGGCCAATAAGTTAGCTTTTTTATAAACATATGGAATTGCTTGATGTTTCAAAAATGATCTGAAGTGACCGCCGTGGCTGGCTCGTATAAATTCCAGTCGAGAGGACTAATTTTCGACCAATTTTTGCAACATGTCAGCAGTAACGCGTCGAATATACTCTTCCAAAGCGTCAATCGTCTTGGATCTGTGTAATCAAGCAATTTCACATAACCTCACAAAAAAATAGTCCAGCAGTGTGAAATCGCACGATCTTGAAAGCCCCACCACAGACCCACGGCGCGACCTAATGCGATCCCCAAAAGTTTTCTTCAATAAATTTATTGTTTCGTCGGCATGTGGGGCATGTAGCGCAGTTTTGTTGGCTTCTAAGGTCGTCCACATTAATATTCTCCAATTCAGACACGTAAAAGTCATTAATCATAACTGCAGCGTTCTTTATTGATTAGAACCGGCTTCATTTTTGAAGAAATATGGACCAATGATTCCCATTGCACATAAATCGCACCAAAAACTCTCGTTTAGAGAATGTAAGAGTGTCTCAACATTGGCTTACGGATTATCATCACCCCAAATGCGAAAAAACGGTTCATTAACACCCGTTCAAACCAAAAGTGAGCTTTATCGCTGCACAAAATTTTCTTGTGAAAATTAAGATCATTGACCACCTCACTTTGGACCCATTTATCGAACGTGAAACGCACATTTGATAGTTGATCGGTCTCAATTCTTGCCCGAGCTAGATTTTCTCTGCCCGCAAACAAAGATTTTTCCGCAAAATCTTCCATAAAGTGGAAGGGCTTAGTTCCAACTCTTGCGCGCGAAGACTGATGGACTCATTCGGGTCTTTTTTTATTATCTGCTCCACATCAGCGACAGCGTCGTCGGAGTGCACGTGTACGGTGTCTCTGAGCACCTAAATTATCCACTAGAGTAGACCTGATGTGAACAGAGCTCGGCTTACCAACTCTACTGGGCAATTATGTCGACCGGATACTCAATGCGCGAGCCGAATCATTATTTTGTTAATAAATTGGCGATATTTGCCAACGTTGTTTGTGTAGAAATCAATTAATAGCTGCAAAAAGGACCTACTCCGATAAAGTATTTGTCTCATCGAGAACCACACATCTAAAAAAAATACCCTTTACAAAGCAAAAAAAAAACTTTAAGAGCAATCAAGTTTGACGGGAAAAAAAAGAAATTTTTTTTGTAATAAAATAAGCAATATTATGAGCTCATTAGAACGAAAAATTATTTAGACGTTTTATATCATAAATAATTAAAAGTTCTATTATTAAATATATAAAAATTTTCTTCGAGCAATTAACAATTGCTATAAAAATATAATATTTCTATTTTAAATTTCTTATAAAAATTCTTCTACAAATATTTTTCTATAAACTAATAATCGCGCTCGTAATGCGCCCGTTATACGCTTTATGGCTTTTACAATGCTTTTCGAACGTGTTTATACCATTCCGCGTTTAATGCTCACGCCACACAACGCAACGCATCGCAACTGCACTGCGCCCCCAACAACAACAACAACAATCACAGATGATTACGTGATTCGCTACAAATGTCAAAGAGGTGATAATGATATCTTTTCGTAAACGTTTACTTAGAAAAATGCCAAAAAACAACAACAAATGTTGCATAGAAATAGTTGTAGAATTTGCAAATGCATTCTTTTATTGAGAAATATTATTTTTTTTTTTTTGGTTGCTTCATTAGATATGTATTTATTTATGTATAATAAAGTAGATGCTCGTTGATAGCGCGTGCCTTGGAATGCTTGAAATGCTTTAACAGTAACTTAGAAACTCATTAAATATGCCTACATGCATAGATATAGATATGTATAGATATGCATATTGTACATATTTATGTGTATACACAACAGTAACACAACAAATGGACAGCAAATTCACGGTTGTCACGGAACTGACAGTTAACAAAACATATTCAACAAAATAAAATATAAATAAATTATAAAAAAATTTAAAAAATTGTAAAAATACACTTAACAAAATGATAAGTAAAATATTCATTTAACGGTATGCATGTACATTGTCATATATGTATGGTTTGAGTGTGGAAACTTAGTTGAAATAAAAACAAAACTGCTACACTTATTTTTAAGTATCACCAATGCAAACAATTAATTTTATAAAAAATTTATTAATAAATAATTAAATTATTATTAATAAATAATGATTAAAAATAATCAATTAATAAATTATTTATTAATTAGTAATTTGAAAATATTTGTAAATTAATTATTATATAATGCAAATATTTTTCAAATAATAATTTTAAAAAATATATACTAATTTTTAAACTGTTAATCTATTTATTAAGTATTTAATAATATTTATTAATTAATAAATAAAATAATATATAAGTTATTAATATATTATTAATATATTAATTAATTCTGTACACTTTATATATATTCTGTACACTTTAACATATAAATTATTAATATATTAATTAATTCATATTTAAATATTTAATATATTTATTATTATTTAAAAGTATTTTTAAATTAATTATCATGTAAAGCAAATATTTTTCAAATAATATTTTTTTTTTAAATATCTATTAATTAACATTTAAACCAATAATAATATTTTTAGTAATAGTAATATTTTATTACAATATTAAATAACTAAAGTATTAAAATATTCATTAATTAATATATAAATTATTAATAAATAATTTATTTAAAAATTAAATATTTAATATACTTATTATTTAATATTAAAATTATGCATTTGTTTATTTATTGATAATTAATATTATTTACTCTACACTTTAGATTTTAATATTATAATATAAATGGATTTATATTTATGAATTAATAATGAAAATTTTTATAAAATTAAATTATTAAAGTATTATTTAAAAATTAATCAATCAAAACATTATTGACTTAACAATTTAAATACTTATTTAAATTTACTTAATTAAATTATTATCATAATATATTTATTAGTTAATGATTAAATGATTAATATATTTATCATTTAATATTTAAATGATTTACTTTTTTAATTATTAAAAAAAATATTAATTATTATAAATTTTAATGATGATTATATTTAAATGATATTTATGTTTATTAATTAATAATGGTATTATTTATAAATTTGAATAATTAAAGTATTAATTAACAATTAAATCTATTAAAATATTTATAAATTGATCACTAAAATACTGAAATGTTTAGTAAATAATAATTAAATTATTAAAAAATTTAATTTTTTTTTCTTAAATAATAATTATATAATTATTATATGTATAAATTAAATGATTTATATCTTTTTTTTATTTTTGATTAAATTATTAATTAATATATACTTCAATGATTTAATTAGTAATATTACATTTATTCATGACTAATTCAATTATTATTAAGATTATTAATTAAAAAATATAATAATTAATAAATAAAATTTTCAATTATTTAATATTTAATTAACAAAAAATTTTAAATCTATATTAATAAAGAATTAAACTACTTAAATATTTGTAAATTATTAGTTAAACAACTAAAATATTTATATATTAATAATAATTAATTTTTATTTTTTTAATTAATAATTAAAATATATTTAATTCATAAACAAATTAATAATATATTTATTACATTTATTGATTAACAATTAAATGTTTAAAATATTTATTAAGTAATAATCTAATTAATAATATATCTATTAATTAATAATTAATTTATTGATATATTTACTAATTAATAATTTATATTTTTAAAATAATTATTAATAAAATTAATATTATTTAATTATTAACCATTTATTAAACTCAATTATTAATATATTTATTAATTAATAATAAAGTTATTAACATTAATGAATAAAATTTAACCAATTTGAAATAATGACACCACCCTTTAGGAAAACTCAGCACTAACACTAACTAAATTGCAACGGTTTGGGTTCACACTGATCTTAATTTAACGATTACTATGCCACTAATGCACAAAACTTTTTTTTAATAAAAACCAAATACGCTAAAACGAAAAATAGCAGCCAATAAAAATGGTAGTTAAAATGTTAATAAACAAAAAAAATAATTTATTTATTTTTTAATATTTTTAGTCCATTTTTTACTAAATAATATAATTTTTTTCAAAAACATTAGCTCGTCCACAATTGAAATCAACTGGTTATCAATCGGAGCCCGAGCCCAATTACGATTCCGACTACTCAACAGTAAAGTATCGAACATTAGATCGACGACGTTTACAATCGGTCTCATCGGCCACGAACGTTGCGAATCGCAATACGAATACGTATCAGGACGATAAGTGAGTATAACGGATATTTTTATATTAATCATTCATTACGTAGTATGCCGATATTATAATCACAGTTGAGATTAAAGATTAAATTGAATTTCGCAATAAACCAAATAAACTCTTAAGGCAACGAAGCACAAGAAACAGTTAATTTCAATGTTAGATCACGTTAAGTTACACTAATCGGCTTATGAGCCTCACAAAGACCCACGAGTTCCTTATACTGTCAGATAGAGATCCGTTTTATTGCGTTCCAAAGTATAGACGGCGGCCTTTCACTACGTTCAAGAGAGTATTTGTATCCAATTTTTAAGATTCCTGGAACTGCGATGCTCCGAGATATCTGAGATGAGTTCTGGCTAAGGCCTTTCTCCCGTATATCCAACATGTATCGCTGCTGTTAAAATTCCCATTCTGTGGCACGTCATTATGTCAACAGCAGCGCCGAAGTCCTTACGAGAACGAGTATTTCCCATACACCTGGTGGTTTTGCATGTCGCTAGTGCTTTCTCTTATTCGGCGTTCAGCTCTTTCGGAAACTTTGACCGTTTCATTAGCTATTTCTTTACTATGAACGCCCAGGTGTTCTGGAATCCAGTATATATGTCGTCGTTTATCCTCGGATATCCTGCCTACTAATTCGCTGCTTCTAAGAACATTTTCTGGACTCTGTAATTAGTACTCTTGTAGATTGATGGGTCGCCTAAAGTCTAGCTCCGGCGCACATTCCATCAGCGATTTTTGATCCGCCAGTGACAGGTGACATGTTCTTGAGACGACCGCTCCTCTTGAACGTAGCTAGAAACATTCTTTCCCAGATAAACCGTGTGGAAACGCAGTCTATGTTGTCACTCACACAGAGTTGCTTCCGTATGAGGCCTATTAAGGCACTAAACTTGCAGCTCAAAGCTACTTTGTACCTGACCGATTGATTGCGAAAGCTCACTCAGTAGTAATCCAAATAAGTTCGCAAGTAACGAATGTCGATATATTCACAAATTTTGTACCGTAGGATGTAGGAGTTCATATATCAATTAAAAATTTCTTTATTTGTTACCTTAATAGGCAACTCTAGCCCTCACCCTCCTTAATTGTATATACTACTTTGATGTAGGCTAACGTTTCGACCAAAAATGGCTGGTATAGATCGAGAAAAAGACCTACCCCCATATAATAGAAGGTGGGATCGAGTTTTTAAGGAATTTATCGAGAAAACTGCTTTAGAGACTTCAAAAAATGAGGAAACGTTGCCACTGATGGCAAAAATAAAATATGTACAATTGAAAAAAAAAAATCAAAGTGATTTTTCAATATTAAGTTATCTTCTTTTTGAACTACGAAAGTTGGGCAAAAGCATTATTTAAATTTTTTTGTTTGCAATTTCAAAGGAATTTTTTTTAAACTTCGAAAAAGTTTGGAACTTTCCAACTACGGTATTCTTTAGTTCATATAGAAGAGACATTCATAATTTTAATTAAAAAAAAAATTGGTCCAACAGATGGTCAGATTGGTCAGATGCATCGCATGATCTCCATCACCGGCACCGTCTCACGAACTTCGACTGTAGCCCCCTACAGATAACGCTCGACAACATTGAAAAGCCTAATATTTCTTTATACAAAAAAATTTTTTAAGCTTAAATAAAGTACATTATTATCTGAAATTTGTGTTTACCGCAATAACTTTCTTCGCCTACAAAAAAAAAGTTGTAGAAAAAAAGATATTTTTCGGGTTCTAAAGAAGACTACTGCCTTAATTGTTATGACAAGTGCAGTGAGTTTTAAGCAAATGCAGAAAAATACTAACTTAGAGTAAATAAGCAAGGCTAAAACTGGGGCGTTAGTCCTTCTGTATCAGGCAGATAAGCCGTTTGGCGTTTAATATACATTAGGTAAAGTAAAAAGTTCATTCGGTTTTTTTATTGATTTTTCAAAATATGATAACTTTGTGTACATTCGATTCGAGTCAAATATGCGCCGATTTAAGTCAAATATGCGCCGGTTTGTTCGTAAACTTGTTGCAAACGAGTTGATAGCATCATTATACCCCTGACGTAGAAGGCTGCGTCTCTATTGGCAAAAAGCTCGGAGAGCCAATCTTTACAGGCCTCTCTTGAGGCCAACTTCTTACTATTAAACGCGTTCGCCATGGGATGGAAAAGATGGTAATCACTTGGTGCCAGGTCCGGAGTATAAGGTGAGTGCATTAGGACCATCCATCCGGGCTCCTGGAGCTTCTGGCGCGTCAGCAAAGACGTGTGTGGCCTGGCATTGTCCTGATGGAACAAAATTCGGCCTCTGTTGATCAAAGATGGCCTCTTCTGGATGAGTGCTGGCTTCAAGCGGTCCAGTTGTTGGCAGTAGAGGGCCGAATTGAGCGTTTGGCCATAGGGGAGCAACTCGTAGGTGCATTAAGACCTCCCATCCGAAATCACCAAAGACGTGTGTGGCCTGACGTTTCCATGATTTTATTGCAACTTTCAACGACAGGCCTCCCGACGCGTGGTGCATCTTTGACATCAAAATTACCGAAACGGAACCTATCAAGCCACTTTTGTGCTACACGTTCGTTTACAGTATCGAGCCCATAAACTAAATTAAGTTTTTCAGCCGCTTTGGCTGCTTTATAGCGTATTTTCTCTTTGCTGGTGTCCATCATTGACGAGCGCGCACAACGTACTGAATCAATCAATCGAAAAACTGTCGAAGACAAACTTTTAGCTCGAATAAACACGTTTTCAGCGCCGTATAGTATGACATGATGTGACACGTAATACTAGTACTAAGGACAATAATGTCATCTCTTAGATAAAAACCGAACGAATTTTTTACTTGACCTAATCTAAATATCAACCGAGTTTTGAAGGCTCGGATCTACTCATACCTAGTAAGCATGGAACTTATATTATTTAAACACTGTTTTAAAAGTAATTTTAAGGCTGTAAACCGCATTTATTTTTTCTATTATTTTTACTAATTTTATTTTCATTTTTATTTATTTTATTTTTTTTATTTTTGTTTTTTTTTTTAAGTATACATTTCTTATAATTGATATTTTTTTTTACTCCTTACAGGCTTTATGGTACTATGCCAAATCCAATTAAATCGGCACAAAATACATATAAAAATCAACCAGGTCGCATTGAAGACTACGTAACGGGTCGTTCATCGGTCTCCGAGAAAGAACGCAAAGAAGTATGTATACATATTACATATGTGTATAAAAAATGAGCAAAGTAAAAGTAAAAAATATTAACAAATTATAATGGAAAATCAAGCAGCTTAATAAAATACAAAGGAATACAATAAACAAAGTTGATGCCCGTGCAAAAGCTTCAAATTCAAAACACGCCAAGTGCAATACAAACAGATATTTGCATAATACAATACTCTAAACACTTTCACTTGTCATTAGCACTTGGAATTAAGCACTTAATGCTTTAATGCATTTAACAATAACACCCATACAAACAACTAAGCTTAATATTCTAGCTCTACCTTTTTATAATATATATGTATGTATGTATTAGTATAATATTTATTTATAGTTAATATTTCTTACCTTGTTCGTGAATATCGTTTATACATACATACGTACATACGATATCACTCAATACGTTTCAGCTGATTATCACGTCAAGATTCTTTGGAGTCACTTTAAAAATAAAAAATAAAAAATAAAATATATATATATATATAAATAATACAAATTTATTTATACAAAAAATGTTTGTAGTTTTTATATATATAAGCTAAATGTTTTTCCTTTGTGTGTGTTTGTTTGTTTTTTTTTTTTTGTTTTAATTTTTATTTTATTTATTTATCATTTCATTTAACTGTATCTATTTTATTCCACGTTTTCTAGTGGTGGGACGAAGTGATGGACATCTTTAACGGGGTATGCATCACCTATTTGTTTTTAAATTTTTTAAAAATATATTTCCATATAATTGATAATGATTTATAGTTTAATAAATGCTCGTTAGAGTTTAGAATATTCCAGGTACATTAATTTTGAAATCAGAATTATGAAAATTCTAGTTATGATATTTTGGTTGTGGGAATATTCTATAGTTTAATTCATAAATTATTTTAAATAAATTCAGTGATAGAAATAGGTTCTATATCGAAGATTTCAATACTTAGCTGCGATTGGGAAACTTCTGACTTCGAGTTATTTTTGTTAAGGAAAAAAAAACTGCCTATAGCAGAACAGTTGCATAAGAGATGGATGATCGTTTGCTCCTCTTCCACCTTGCGGCTTCTGCAGCATATCCTATAGCGATGCACTAGTCTCTGTACTTCAAGTCGCCCTATTAGACTGTGGTCTTATGGGACTCTTATTAATTTGGACTTGCCTCCCTCCCATTTTTAAGAATTACATATCTCGTAAATCCATGTCTGTTTTGCGGTCGATTGTAGCTTCATACCGGCTTTACATGGCTAATTTAGCAGCTTGCAAGTGGCGCAAAAAGTCGTGTCTTGCTTAGAAATTTAATTCGACTTATCGTTTCAATCGATTTTCACGTGAAGGATAGTCTGTCTACTCCTGAAAGACACTGCGATGGTCAGGTAGCCTGAAAGAGAGTACCATACGATGGTCCCTTGAGAAAACACCTCCGTCGGCTCTCCCTCAAGCTTTGATCCGATGTGTCATAATTATCCTCCCATTCTTCCCTGCTGGGAATTCGACCGTATCAATCTGCATAGCTGGGTATAAAGTCGTATTTATTCCATCCCGAATGTCCCAATAGCTGAGTGAACAATAAGGAAGTAAATATAAATTGATTAAGAAATACAAGGTGAGGCTACTCCTTTTTCCAGATCCGAGGAACCAGATTCGTCATCTGCTGATGTTTCACTTTTACTACCCTTCCGCAGGCAGAAAAAGTGTTTCCTTTATAAATTACGTATAGGCTGCGCTTCAGTCGCAAGACAACCTCTCTAAATCCTACAAGAGTTTACTCCGGTTTTGAAACTTACTGTAAGTCGCTGTATATTTACCAGCATTATCTTTGTCGGTCAATTTTTTTCTTATTCTGTTTACACACTTGTCTCTCTTCTCTCTTCAAATCTCGGTATCTATCACACCCCGCACAGACAACCTTTTCTCTCTCCCATGCGATACAGCAATACTCAACGTACCTGCTGTTCTTTCTGCCTTTTCGAACACCAATAGTAGGGAGCTGTATGCATGCAGGTGGGAGCTCTCCCTTAGTTCTTTTATAGCGTTTGGCTGCTTCGAACAGATTACAGGACGATTCCGATAGGCAACTGGGGTTCTGATAGAAAACGGCTTTCAGATCAGCCCTTTGTAATACTTTTCCTCCACTATTTTATTAATAACTAAAACCACTAAGCTAAAAACACTTTTCTCTCACTTCTCTGCCTTCGTATCTTGCTATCACTAACAACCTACCGATGCAAAATTAATTCTATATTTGGAATTCATTATTATGTGTTAAGTGGTTGAGGGAACATCGCGTAATACCGCGTATGTTCATTGAGTTTGCCGATGATGTAACCGTAAGTTAACAACACTTTCCTCAAGCACTTCATATACACCCGTAAAAAAAAAATATATATATATATATAATCGAATGTGGAAAAATATTCCAACCACGTGTCAACTACATGTGGAGCACCTAGTTATGAGTAACCCAGCAAAATTCGCTTTAAGAGCATACACGTTTGTATGTTTGTAGCTAATAATAAGGCACTGCACAAAAAACAAAATACTTGTGGCACCAAGCACTGATTAAATATTGTATTTAAGTTCCCTTAAACATATATTAAAGGAAAATTTAGCCAGGTTTCTGTCATAAAGCGCTGGATTAGCACCAAAGAAATCTTTAGTAGACGATTAAGTTCTAAAATTTGACTTCTCTCAGGCTTTATTAAAATATACAACACCACCACTGAATTTTTTTATTTATTTTTTATTTTAGCATTTTTTTTTTAGTTTTGCTTTTGTTGTAATTTTTGTTTAAAAGAAATATTTTTTTCTTTCATTAATTTAATATTAAATTTTATATTCCACAGAGGCAATTTTTTAAAGTTTGCGAAGAGAAAAAATGATAAATTTAAGCCTAAGGCTTTAAGGATTCGAGTCCTGTTCTGTCCAACTACCAAAATTAGAGAAAAAATATTCATTTGAATAAAAATTCAGTAAATTTTTATAATTGTGGTCGCGCCTCGACAGGCAATGTCAAGCCATCCGAATGTATTTCTGACATAAAATAAAAAACTTCTTCTATAAATCCATCGGGTAATGGCTTAGAATAAACTGCAATCCCTCCATTTTTTGGTGAAATATCCAAGACCCACACCACAAATCGGAGTAGGAGCTCGGCTAAAAATCGCTTTAGCGGTTCAAAGTGCCACTCAGCATCGTTTTGCTCGTTACACCGCAAATATTGCCGCTGTAAGTCAAAATTTAGTGTTTTAGCGGCACATTGTGGCGTATTATGCACATGAACTCACACCAACCTACATCCATATAAAGTCCAGCTCAGACAGTAGCTTAAGTCATTCGGCTCTTGTAAAAACGTCGTTTTAGGGTGTTTGAACGACAAGCAGTGGACGGCGCTCCACTCGAGCTAAATTTTCATCAGTGACGAGGCACATTTCTCACTCGGGGGATATGTAAATAAGCAAAGTTGTCGCATTCGGTGCTCCGAGAATCCTCATATAAGTGAGGAGAAATTATTATGGTCAAGAATTTAACTTTGTTATAAAGATAAGGGTTTGACATTATGACTCAAATAAATTCCAGCCGAGCGACGAAATTTTCGAACACTTTTTGTAGCTACTCTTGTCGGATGTCGACAACAGTGTTAATTGTCATGGCGTTATCTGCGTAGACAAGTGACTGCACATAACACCACAAAATATAGTCTAGCGGTTTCTTGTGGCGCTGTCTTGTTGGAGGAACATTCTATAGTTCAAGCATAAAAAACTCAATAATCATGGCTTTGTAACGTTGCCGGCTTCAGTTTTGAAGAAATATGGACCAACGATTCCCACTGCTCGTAGACCATACTTTGCTTCAGTGGTCACTATACGGCGCCTCTGTGGATGCGAATTATTCACTAGAGTAAACGTGATGCGAAACCGATTTATTGTTGCTCGACTTGCCGGCTCTGCTTGGCGATTGTGTCGACCGAGTATTGTCCTCCGCACCGACCCATTATTTCAAGCATTAAAGAAAGAAGAAAAGTCGGAAATTCATTTACTCAATAGATTTTTGGTTTAAAATCTCATTTTCGATTTTTACTTTAAATTTCTTCGCAAACTTAAAAAATTTAGTACACAAAATTTTACCATAATAATTTTTTTTCCTTTAAAATATTCATTAAGAAAAACACAACTAAGCATACACAACAACAATAAATTAACTCAAATATTCTCTCTCTCACTCTTTGAAACACCCACGCTCATGACTAACAGCACTTGGATCAAGCAAAGCTCTCGCCACACTACACTGAAGGAAATCTTTCAAGGTAAATTCGTTGAGCATAAATTCCTTTCGATAGAACTAAAAGAATATCTCCTCTCCGCAGAGCCTTAGCCAAAGAGACTGGCTATACGAGTGACTCAAATTTGGTATTCCGCAAACGTGACGTGCCACAAGCCAGTCCACTGAGCCCTGTTGAGCAGAAGCAGGCCTACAAGAGTGTACAAGCTGGAGGAGAACCACCTTTGTTCGGTTTCAGGAAACCAGCGCCGGAAAGACCAAGAGGTGAGTGGAGAAAAAAACACATTTCGTTGAGAGCAAATTTTGTAGTTTTGTGTTGTTGAAGAAATTAATTATTTTAAGTTGTGGATGCTAACAAAGGTTTACAGTATAAGGTTGGTTACATACTAAAAACTAATTATGTGTAAGAAAAATCACACGCAAAGATACACAATGTCACAAAACCAAACAACAATTTATGAAAAAGTAGTTAGTCTAACAACTTTGGGAGACTTTTTTCTGGGTGTGGGTAGTACTCTCAGAAAGTTCCTCATACAACACTTTTTAGGTGTACAAATGAACTTTAGTATAGATTTTCCAACTTAGAAACTACGCACAAACAACCGTTAACGTGAAAGTTGCAACTTTCCAGCACCGAAAAAAAATATATACACCTTGGAACCGCACCGCACCGTCTGGCAAAGCGCCACACCGCACCGTCTGGTAACGCCGCACTAACGGCGCTCGAAAAAAAGTCTAATATATCTCCTTCATACTCTCTATCTCTCTCAAAAACCAAGAAACCGAAAAACTGGAGTACACACAAATCTCACCAACCCTAACCAAAATACGTCTGATCTCTACGGCTACAAACAGCGGCAACACTGTCAGCGAGAGCAACACTGTTTGTAACACTGAGAGCGTTACTCCCAAAACTAGCCAGGACACAAACCAACCGCCGCCAACGCCGACACCTCAGCCAAAGCATACCAAAGTTCACCACCAAGCGAAAATGTTCACACACTCCTTCATACAGCTGGACGGTAAGCGTACGACCAACTCGGCTACTTCACCACCACAGCCGCCGAATCGTAAGTCATCGTGCCAAAAGGCCAGCTCGCGTACGTCACCAGCACGTCCGCCAAAACCAGCGCCTGTCATACCAAAGCGTCACGAACAATGTTTTCAAAGTCCCGATGAAACTGTGCTGGGCGCCAATAAGTATGCAACAATAACGCTGCGTAAGCATGCTAGACCCAATGGTGCTATCTGTCGCTCCAAATCTGCAGGCGCAGTTTCATCGTTGATAACTGCAAGCAAAGTTAAATCGGAAACGTCATTACCAGCGCCTCGTGCGCTCAGCATATGTCGCAATGATACTGGTGCACCGGAGAGTGTGAAGGTCAAACGCATGCAGCAACATACACGCTTCCGTTCGATCAGCCCAACACGCGCGCAAAGTCGCGTTACATCAACTCAACGTCCAACTAGTCGCAGTCCTGTGGCTTTTGGTCGCTCCATTTCGAAGGAGCGCACTTTTGCTGAGGAGAAGAAACGTTTGGAAAATACTTTACCCAGCGCCTTAACAAATTTCGAGGCTAGCACGAATATTTTACGCGATCCATCACTCAAATCGCCACAAGAAGTAAAGCAGGCGGTGCGTTCTTACGCCACTTGCGTAGCACATTTGCGCAGCAAATCAATGCCACGCCTCAGAGAGGAAGTGAAAAGGACGGAGCCTGCTAGCGTCAGCACCACTGTACGACATACGATGTGCTTTCCGCAGGCGAAAATATTCGATTGTGCTAAAGCTATGCGTAAGTCACTGACTCGTTCGAAGAGTCCACGCTCGAAAAGTCCACGTCCAAAAGCTGTTTCCACAGTTAGTCTCACGCGTACAGACTCCACCTTCTCCATAGATTCTGTGCCACCAAAAAATGTTAGTAAAACCAATTTAGTTGTATCTAAGAAGGTCGTGCCACCGAAGTCGAAGACGGAGAGAAAGCCTATTAAATCAAAATCTGTAACCCTTCAAAACGGTCATCGATCCGTGGCTCCGCCTAAAGGCAATACGATGCCGAAAACGCAAAAATCGCGCTCAGTCTCAAAGATGCAAACCTCGCACCCAGGAGAGACACATACCATACCTCGTAGCGGCTATGAATCCTATGCGTTACATCAATCCCGTAGTCTAAGTCCAAAGCGTTACTACCAGTTGGAAGAGTACAATGCCAGACTAGACGATTACGATGAGCTTGATCGCAGTTATGTGAATGACTTGCTTTGGCAATATGAGCATGGCGCCATGAAACGTTATGTGGCGCCAACAGTCCCATTGGAATCAAAGGCACGGGATATTGCATGCCCCGAGTCGCCTACACCGAGTTTGAAGCATAGAAAGTTCTCCCCAACACGTGAGGTGCGTGTACCACAAGAGCCAAGAAGTTTGCAAGTTTCATACGATAAATTGGAGTCGCCGCAATCCGGCACAACAACGGGCACGGAGCGCAGGTTTTCACCCACCCGTGAGGTGCGCGTACCCAAGCTGCCGCCCAGTTTGCAGCCAACAAAACAGCGTTCGAAATCGCCACGTACTGTGCGCGATATTGCGCGCCCTGAATCGCCAGCGATAGTCGACAGTTCACGTAGATTTTCACCAACGCGTGAGATACGCGTACCCCAGCAACCGCAAAGTTTGCCGCCACCTCCTCCACTGTCGAAATCTGCATCAGCTCAGTTGAAACGAGAAACCGCACGGTTGGAATCTCCGCCTAAAGAATCGAAGGTAGTTGCAAGAAAATTTTCACCTACACGCGAAGTGCGTGTTCCACCACAGCATAGCTCACGCACTGTGCGCTCCCCTTCCAGACGTCGCATAGACACATATCGTGCGAGTGTTGCCAAGGCAGCTGATAAATTTGATGCCAGCAAAGTTATACGAGCAAGTAGTTTGAGCAGCGCCGATGATCGTTCAAGACGTGGCCTATACCTTTGCGACGAGCTCGCACATAGCGCAACCTCTCTCGAACATTGCGATCGCCACAGTCCCACATGTCGGTATCGGAACAACTCGGAGCGTTTCACAGAACTTAATAGATTCTACAGCACTTTAGAGCGTGTCGGCCAATTAGAGCGTGCCACCTCGCTCTCATCTTTCAAGCCGTTACGCAAAGATGGCGAACCTTTGGATTTTGATGAGTGGCGTAAGATACGCCATCACGAGCGCGCTGAGAAGGAGTTAAATTACTTGGTTGGTAAGTTGAAGCACGAGCAACGTACGAAGGATTTTGTATTTCGTCCCAAAGACGTTGAAGACGTAAAGTGGCGACATGAAACCGACTTTGGCTTGCACTCCAAAGAAAAATCCGTAGAAGATCTACGCTATGCCTTCGAGCAAAAGAATATTTTCGCCGATTACGATCGACAATTGCGTCAGGAATATGATGGCTCACGTGAATTTGTGCGTCCCTATTGGCGCCGCAACACTGTAGCAGATTTGGCTTCCAGCTTGGAAGGCAAAGTCCAGCCAGAAGGTGTTGTAAGCCATGGTGCAGCTCAAGTTGGGACCGATGAGCTCGCTAAATGCCAGCTGAGCAGTCATCTCGTGAGTACGCTCTCCAAAGATCAGATACTGAAGATCACACAACAATTAAATGAAATCTATGGGAACAACACGCAGACCGCTGCAGAAGACTATGTCATCACTGTAGATGCGGATACCAAGAGACGTGCGGCAGCACCAGGTGCACTGAAGGTGCGTTGTAACTCGACGTTGACGAAGGAGGAGCTCTTACAGCCGACGACAAGCAAAAAGCTAGCGAAAGAAATGACTTTAGGTAAAGGACAAGGTAAGGTTAAGACCAGCAAGGAAAGCACTACTAGGGAGGCTGTAACTAGAAGTGCACGTAGCAGTTCGCCGGTGTATCTTGCACGTGAAACGCGTGGCGCAATAGCAGCTAAGAACGCAGAAGTATTTTTGCCCAAGCCGCCACATATACCAAAACAACCCGAAGTAAAAGTGAGTTTGGAACACGAAGATGGAAAAAATACTGAAAGTCGCGAGAAGTCGGCATCTTCACGCCACGAAAATCAAAGTGCGCCCTCGCTCAGTCATGTGCGCTACGACTCACCAGCTGACAAAGCGGACGAGAGCAAGCTCGAGGAGCAGACGTCATCCAGCAAGGAGCCGAAAGAGAAGATCAACGAGAAAATACAATATTTTGAAGAGCGTCAATACGATGAGCAGCCGAAGACTATTTACCACGCCCGCGAGGACTCCTCACCAGACGAGGCCGAGGTAATGCGTATCATTGAAGAAAATATGAAAACGCGTGAACGTAAGGCTACACCAATGCCAGCACATCAGTTGCGTAAGGAGTTTAGCAGCTCCTTGACCGATCTCAAAGATATTTTTGGTGAACGTACATCGGCACGTGTAAATTTTCACATGCATTCACCACCCGAGCGGCCGCCCGACGTCGACAGTACGCCGCAAACGATGAGTCCAGCGCGTGAATGCATGGATGTACGAGAAGATGCCTGGTACGATTTGGGTGATTTGACACCGGGCAGCAGTGTTGAGCAATTGGATGCACACTGTCGCTCACGTAGTCTCTCGCCCGTCTCACAGGCCTCCTCCTCGTATCTATGCCGCGTGCACACCGGGGACGTGCGTAAGATGACGGAACATTTCGAAAGTTTTGGTGCACACGATGACAGTCGGTGTCATTTTTTTGGGGTTAGTACGCTGAGAAAGGTGCGCAGCGAACCTGAACTGAAACCATTGTTCAGTGCAGGTTCAAAAGACGCCTTGGTGGAGCCGGCTGCCGTAAGTGCAGATGTGCACGCGCTCACACATAAATTCGAGCAACGTAGTCAGAGTATGCGCGTGGGCGGCAATTGTGTACGTGGCCGTGGCGGTGGTCGTGGACGTGGCCGCGCATCCTTTCGACGTGTCATCTCACCACTGGGTGTGAAAGATCGACTTATGCCGCACATAGACATTATAAGTAAAACGGCGGCTTTGCAAGAAAGTAAGAAAATGTCCACGTCATGTGAGAAAGGAAGAATCGAGCCGGAGCGCAGTTACCTTGTCGAACGTTTACGCAATCAATATGAGCGTAGTCTAACGCCACCACACTCAAATCTACGCCAAGTTGGTACCACGAGCATATTCATATCCAACTCCAGCCCAGATATACCACAAGCGGCAGCAATTTCACCGCATCTCTCAGCCGATTGGTATGCCCACAAATATCCCAGTCCCACACAGAACTCGTGCAAAGGAAATGGACAGGGCAAAGATAGCAGAGTCAGCAAAGAACGTACCTCGGTGCGTATAGCGAAAATTTTACGTAAGCTACCACCACGCTCGAGCTCAGCCTCACCGCCGCGTCCACCGAAGTCCGTGCAACACAAACGTGACGACACGTTGTGGCGCAAGCGAAGCGGCGATATTTTCGCAAATCAACAATTCGATCCGAAGAAACATCAACCGAAGGCACGCTATGTGCCCGATGGCGCTGAGACGTACGAACGCAAGAGAGCCTCATCGCATCCGCGTTGTGGTGGCAGTTGTGAAATACTCAAGAGCGCAATGGCGGTCTCATTTCAAGGTTTTTATAAAGCGAATTATTTATTTGGCGAAATGTGCACATTATTTACATACATACATATTTTAAATGGCACCTGGTATATTAAAAAAAAAAAATTAACAAGAGAACTTCGACTCAAGGAGTATAAGTACCTCGGCCAGATCTCAAAGACAAAAATTTCTTCTCAGCAGAAGTGGCTACTCAAGCAGGTCCTCAGGGTCTGGGTTATTATTAAAATTTTTATTTTATTTTCTGAAAAAATCGCATGCTCTTGTACTCTTTATAAATAAGTTTAATTATAAATTACAAATAATTTTTTTTCTAATTTAATTAGTTGTTGAAACTACATTTATACGCCTCGTAGTTCTAACTGCTCATTATCTATGGTATTTTTAAGAAACATTGGTTTCCAATACATTTCGCTTTGGTATTTATGTGTAAACCTCATAACACAATGTTTACCTGATGCGCTGGGTTGTCCCGTTTCTCGCTGCTTTGGCTTTGGCATTAGCTTAAGAGTTTTCACGCTCTCTGCTGTTATCTCACTCTCACTCCCTTTCTCTTATCGCTAACATCTACAATTTTTTTTAAATGTCCCTTTTCATGTCCGTGTGTGTTTCTACGTTCTTATGTCTAACCGTTATCACAGATGACGGTAACGATCCGCCAGTACCGCCTAAACCCAGTGGATATCGCGCAGGTGAGTTGATTGCAAGAATAAATTTAATTCTCTTAAAAACGAGAGAAAGAAGTGATGTCTTCGGCCATGCTGAAGTTATTAGGATTATATAATTATTTTCATTTTTGGAAAACGGATTGTTCGATGATTTTCAGTACCAAGATTTATTTGAATTTACCCTTCTATGCGCTTTTTTTTACCGATTTTTAACCAAAACCTCATAACCTGAACAAATTTGTTGTAAGGAGATTTAATTTTATTAAGGTCCGATCTGGCTGGTTCCGACAGGTTATCGTTTAAATGTACTTGAGCATCCGTGCACCAAATTTGGCTGGAATGTCTCAAAAACTCTAGCCCAACAGACAGAAAGACGGACTGAACTGATGGCTGGCTAAATGAACTCAGCTTGTTATTCTAAACCGATCGGTGTAAGTTTTGGTGGGTTTCTCTTTTCTCCTGCAGGTACTTACATACATACTTCGACAAAAGGCTATGTACCATTTCGTGATTATAAGAGGTATAAAAAATCGTGAATACAATACAGTTGTGAGGTCCAATTTTCGACCACTTTTCGTAGCGTTGAATAGGGATGAAATGGCAGCTCTTGTATCTCCCCAGGTTGTTCTTCATCCCGAAAGCGGCAAATTTTGCTTGCTTACATACCCATTGAACCAGAAAAGGGCCTCATTGCTGAAGAAAATCGGATCTTCTTGGAACCTTTCAACAGACTATAGAGCGAAGTGATGTCGCTTGGAAGGGTCGAGCGGCTTCAGTTCTTGTACAACTTCACAAGCTCTACTTTAAGATCTATGCCAAGTCGTCCGATACGTCAGTCGGAGTTGTTGGGAACGGCACCGAATCGACTCTAAACGGTCTTCTTGTACACATGCAGCTACGGCCGCTATATTTTCTTCGTCGCGTGCTGGACGTGGTCTATTCGGTCGAATATTATCCAATAATGAATTCTGGATCTCAAGATGGGTGATGGTGTTGCACATAGTACGCTCCGTAGACCGACCATAAGCGAAGCGCACGAAACACATTCTTCACAGAACGTAAATTACCGTAATAAAGTTGAACGATTTGTAAATGTTGTTCGGCCGGTAGAAAGTCTTTCCAAGATGAAATGCCACGAAATACCGGAAAAAAGTAAAATGACAGTTTCACACGGCTCACCCGTGATCAGTCAAAAAGGCTATTGGAAAATTTACCTCTAACTGGATCAACCGTTACAAAGCGATTCATCGAACACCACTCCCTCTTAGGCCCAAAACAAAACGATCTCGGACTCACGTTAGATGATCTTAAGGACACTAATTATATTAACTCAGCCCTAAATGGTGTGGCACAGACCACTCAAGCTCTGAAAACTCGGTATTTCAAACTGGAATGGCTTGTACCACCAATATTTTTGAGTTTAAAGCATGTGATTAGAGAACGCAAGCCACGTAGTTGATGCAACTTTATTATAGGTCACAACACGAAGATTCCCGATAGCGTAACAACTCTCCACTAGACACATAATTTTCCCAGACACAATAACCATAAAATGTTGCATGTGAAAAAGATAAGCTCAGGAATAACTGAGAAATATCTCACTATCTTCTTCTTCTTCTTCTTCTTCTGCTCTTTCCACCTGCATTCCTCTCAGTTCGAGGCAATACTCAAAACAAAATACTTGTAATAACAACAAATCACTTGATCCCTATCATTTGTTTACATTTCTTTTGCGTACGAAGCGTAAGCTCCGCGTCTCAGTCAACAAACTCAATACCGTCCGTATCTCAATAGGCCGTTGACACACCCAGTGCAGGTTACATGTAACCTTTAAGTAAGAAAACAAAAAGAAATACTGCCGTCATCAAGATTATTATTGCTGGTAAAAAAGCATAAATGAAATGGAACTAAAAATACAAATATTTCCTTTTGGCCGTTAACGAGATAATTCGCAAGACAAACGATGAAGGCGAAGGCGAAATGTGTACGTCGCGTGGCTCAAAGAAAAAGAAAAAAAAAAAAGAAAAATCAACAACACATCGAAGATGGTTAAAGCTAAAAGCCAACGCTTCCGTCCGCCGACCGTCTATACTGGCTCACTGGCCGCCCAGTTCTTAGCAGCAACACTCACTGAGAAGGTTAGCGAATTGCTAGGTGCAGCCGGGCTATAGACACATTTCCTACGTTTTCCTTATGTTTTGCTTAACATGCTCCCTCTCGCTCTCTCTCTCTCTCTTGTTTTTCCTTATCTACACACCGTTACACCTGACACTAGTCAAGACTCAAAATCAATAATACCAATAGCACATTGTGACCTCCTTAGCTTGGCCAGTACGCTGCTGCAATGGTGCGTTCTACAGTCTATTAGTTAGCCAAGTTAGTATTGGCTTAGTTTGTAACAGAAGAAGAAGAATAAGAAGACCAAAAAACCACACAACCTCAAAGCCATTGTGGTGGCATTGGTAATTAGACTGACGCTGAGGTTAGAGCTGTTGGTGGTGGTAGTGCCCGTGGTGGTGGTGCTTGCGTTGGTTTCACGGGGGGTTGCTGCTTGCACTCGCATAAACGTCAAAAGCGTTGCCATGGCCAGCACGAGCCAACAAGCAAATAACAGTCACAACAAAAAATAACAACAAAACCAAAAAAAAAAAAAAATTAAATCAAAAGCAAGGCGAGCAAAGCTCTAAGTTAGCAACGTGCGCCCTTCCACAAGCAAACGAGCAAGGCGAACAAGCAGGCAATAGACCAACAGCAGGTTCATTTGGGACCAAGCCAGCCAAGTTGGTCAGTCGGCGTTGAGCCGCTGCTTTTTCCGCAACTCCATAGCAAATTAGACGCGTGTGCCGCATGCAACGCTGTGGCTAATTGTTCGAAAACAAAGATAAATCGATTTTTTATTATTAATAAAGAGTGTTAAGAGTGTTAGGAAAAGTAAAAAATATTGAATTATCGTGTGTTCATAGTAAAAGAGTAGAAATGAAATGAAAAGAGAATAAAATGAAAGTGTTCAAGTGTATTTGATTGAGTTCAAGCGTGGCGAAGTATTTCAGTTCACCGCAACACATGCAGTGCCACACCACCGAGACTACGCGTCCGCTAACGCAGTACGCGCGTGTCGGTCAATTTCCATATCAAGCGACGCAACAAAACGGTTACATCGCTCCACCACACCGCACCGTGACCACCAATCACAGATATCATGTAAATGATGACCCACAGCAATATTATCGTCGTGCCACCAACCTAAGTAACAGCACTATGCTCACCTCAACAACACCCAGTCGTCTGCATCAGAGTTGTCATGATTTACGTGTACCATTCCAGGAGCCATCATACACTCAACAACAACAACAACAACAACGTACATTCGCTGATAAAGTAGCCGCCTTTGAACGTATTGAGACACCTACACCCACACCTACACTTACACCAACATCACCACTTGCCAGCAGCAGTGCGGCGCATGCAACAACCGTTGGCAGCGCTGCACTAACACCACATCGCTGGTCACGTCAACGCTCTAGCGACTCCTGCAATATTGCGAATTGTGGCAAAATTCTGTGGGTGAGTCGCGAAACGGTTGGCGTGCCGGTGGACAACGACTATGAGGCCGCGCGTACATTTGCCGCTAGTAAGGGTTATTACTATGATCGCGAGCAGAATGTGCGTATACGCACCAATGCCAAAGGTTTGCCCTATACACCCTTGCCGGAGCGTAAGCAGGATTTTCTTGCGAATCAACGTGCCATTGAAGCGGTCGTGCCGTTGGTATTCAACAGGCGACGTCAATCGAGTTAGTATCGGTAACCTTTTGTTAGACATACCTACATATGTACATACATACAAGAAAATGTGTCATATTGTCATATTGTTGGCGTGGCGGGGTATAGGGTGCCGTGTGGCTTTGCATACGCGCAAATATTTCGAAATGCAAAGTATGCCACGACTGCGGTTGGGGCGAGTTGCAATTTATAGCGGCAGCAGTGGCTAAAATAGATTTGCTGGCTTGGAAATGTGGGTCATAAGGCTTGCAGTAGGGTGCACGAGAGTTGTTAGTTCATTGGCGCGTAATGTGGGAGTAAAGAAAAATAGAGGCAGCATTTTTTACAGTTAGGGTCACTGCATCAAATAGTTTCGAAACTAGTGAGTGTTCATCCATCTGACCGACATTACTTGATCTAGTATCTCAGTAGCTTAGCCTACTTCTTACAATATATGACTTTGGCACCACTTACACAATTATAGCCGAGTTAACAATAGCACGCCAGTCGTTTCTACTTTCCACTGTTTGGCACCAATTGGAGAAGTCAAGTGGAAACAGAAGTAACCAAGAAAGGTGCACCCAAGTGGTGGTTTATCCTTAAGTAAATGTCTATTAGGTTGCTCTCTGCGATCACTTCCCAGCAGATTTTACTTTTCACAGCATAGCATTAGTTTCTTTAACTCGTAGCATAGATGCTTCGCTGTACAACTGATGATCCGGTGACATCAAGCGGTTTAATGTCACTGTCCTATGTCTTTTGGCATGCTTGTAGCATCTTCACCTGCGTTTCGCTCGTCACCGTCATTCAAATCATAGCGTATTTTACCAACAGCAAATGGCAGTCGCTTCTCTCTCGAAAATCCTCTTCCCTATTTATCAGATGTCATCGGCCAAGATTAGCAACTGTCCAAAAAGGCATTTACATACATACATAGCCTAAGTTGACTTTCCAGGCTGACGATATTATAAAATAATGTCAGAAATTATCGATACAATGAGATCTGTCCTGAGGAATTTCCATGAGCGCAACAAAAATTTGCGCTTCTTTTGAGTTTTTTGCTTATTACTTCATTTCTTCGATATTTTACACTTATCCGCAAATCGATTGGTTTAGCTTACAACATAATATTTGTAAAACAACAAGAGCATTTTATTAACATTTATTATTTATAAATTTTCAAACCTCGTTTTTTTACGTTGACAAATAAAAATTTACCGATTTGAATTTGTAAATAGAACAGGGTGACAATATGGTGTCATT